TTGTCATTGACCAAGATTGAGAAGAAGCCAGGGGAGAGCTTCAGAGAATACGGCTTCCGTTGGAGAGAGCAAGCAGCGAGGGTTGACCCTCCGATGAAAGAGAGTGAAATGGTTGATTACTTCTTGCAGGCCTTAGAGCCCACTTATTTCGGTCACTTGGTGTCAGCAGTAGGGAAATCCTTTAATGAAGTGGTGAAAATGGGAAGCATGGTAGAGGAAGGACTCAAGTCTAACAAAATAATGAGTTATTCAGCAAGTAAGGCGACCTCCCAGGCTATTCAAAACGACACTAGAGGAGTATTGGGAAAGAAGAAGAAAGAGGACGTTGCAATAATCGAGTCAAGAGCTTGGTCCAGGGGCCCGTTACCTTACTATAACCAGCCTTGACCCCATCCCCAAACTTATCCCCACACTCCATATAGCCCACCGCAACACTACTACCCGCCTCCAGATCCCCACTTCTCTGTCCATCATGCTCAGACATACACTTAACCTCCTACCCACGCACAATGGCGTGCGCCAACCCCACAGAATACTTACCCACCTCCCCAAAATACCTATCCACCACAAGGAGCCTACAGAAACCCCTCTGGAACAGGTTTCCGATCAAACCAAACCTTCAGGAATGAGAGGGTACAGAAGCAAAAGACTTTTACTCCACTGGGAGAATCATACACAAGTCTATTCCACAGGTTGAGGCAGCTGGGTATGTTGAATCCGATTGAGGCTAAGCTGCCAAACCCCCCTCCGAGAAATCTTGATCACTCGGTGAGTTGTGAGTATTGTTCAGGGGCCCCGGGGCATGACACATAGAAATGCTAGAAGTTGAAGACAACCATTCAAGAGCTCATTGACACCCGTCGGATCGAGGTTCAGGCCCCAGAGGCACCTAATATCAACCAGAATCCATTGCCGGCCCATTATGAGACCAATATGATTGAGATAGTGCAAAATGGAGGAGAGCCTAAGAAGCCCTCGCGGACTGTAATGATGATCAGGTCCAGTGAAATCAAGCCAAGTGGGGAATCAAGTAGCGGGAAGTCATTGATCAAGGTGAAAGGAATAAGTAGTGAACCAGTCGTAGCAATCGAAAAAGAGTCCTCGAGCGGTGTTGCAGTAAAACAGGGGACAACAAAAGTGGTGGTACCAGGAGTATTAAGCAAGCCTGTTGTGATTGTGGAGGGTGCCCACACAGATCCCGTCGTTGTCAAGCCAGGCGCTGGGAAGCGCCTAGTAACAACAGTTCCTAGTTCTGTGGTTGATCTTGACAAGGAGTTGATTGAAAGGTTCGAGAAGTTGTTCGACGATGTGAACATGGTGGAAGTTGGAGAGGGTTCTAGCAAGGCGGATGTGCAATTGGCCGGGACAAGTGCAAAGATTAACAATTGGGAAGCTACTCCTCTCCCTACCCGGAAGGAGTTTTGGTAGTTTGCTTTGATTTTGTTTCAGTTTATCAGGATTATTCCAGGGTTGTAAGTCAGATTCTATGTTCCGTCCGTTTGGATGTATAAACCTCATTATCTTTTGATTTCAATGAAATGCAATTTCCCTTTTTCATCATTCCTGATAGTTTTATTTTGTTTTTCTTTTCTTCCTTACACAGTTCTTTTATGCTGGTTTCAATGACATGACATGCATGAGGAATCTTCGGCCCAGTTTTTAAAGCCAAGCTAATTCTGAAAAGTTGAAATCCTATCCCTTCGGATTGTCGTAGAAGCCGAAATTGATGATGATGAATGGGTTAAATCCCGCTTGGAGCAATTAAGTTTGATCGATGAGAAAAGATTGGCAGCAGTGTGTCATGGCCAATTGTATCAACAGAGAATGGCAAGAGCATATAATAAGAAGGTGCGTCCACGAAAGTTCGAAGTGGGTCAGCAAGTGTTGAGACGTATCCTTCCACATCAGTCTGAGGCCAAAGGCATGTTCGCCCCAAATTGGTAGGGGCCGTTCATCGTGATGAGAGTGTTGTCCAATGGTGCTTTGTATTAAACAAACATAGAAGGCAAGTGTGTAGAAATGGACATCAATTCTGATGCAGTCAAGAGATATTATGTATGATTTTCTTTGGTTTAATTGCATTTGTTTGTACTCGGCATGTTTTGGAGATTGGAGTTACGAAGGCATTTTGTTCTGCTATCTAAACACTTTATCCTTTGTTACCCCTTTGAGCCATATTTATTTTCTTTTGTACCCCTCTTTTGGAATCAGTACCGAAGTTCAGAAACGCAAGCGCAAAGGATAAGTAAAGGAAAAAGAGAAAGGAGAAAGAAAAGAATGAAAAGAGAAAGAAAAAAAAAGAGAAAAGAGAGGAAAAAAAAGAAGAAAAAGAGAAGAAAAAGAAAAAGAAGAAAAACAACAAAACAACAAAACAACACAAGGGAAAAGAAAGGAAAAGAAAAAAAAAAGAAAAGAAAAAGAAAAGGAGCAACAACTAATGTAGTCACATGAACTACGATCGACCTGATTCCTTTATGGATACGTAGGCAGCCTCACGGTTCGGTCTCATCGTAATAAAAATCCAACAGTCCCCAAGTAAGAAACTGGGGCAGAAGTTGCGATTGTTGTGAGAAATCTGATTCCAAAAGTTGTAATTTTGAGCCCATTTGAATTGTTTTGAGCCTTTGATACCCTTTCTTTCTAACCCTGTCCAAAAGCCTGCATTACGGTCCAAAGAAAGACCTTCTGATCAGTCTTCAAGAAATGCCAAGTCAAGCAAGAAGAGGTAATTCATGTCAGGGACAACACTTTGGTCCAAGCAGAAAATGATGAAAATGAGAGAGTCTTATTGGTGAAAACCCTCACGGGCACCGTAAGGCGACGCGAGCTGAGAGAAATGAAAAATGAGAGAGTCTTATCGGTGAAAACCCTCACGGGCACCTTAAACGAAAGTGAGTTGAGAGAAACCAGAAATGAGAGAGTCTTATTGGTGAAAACCCTCGCGGGCACCTTAAGGCGAAAGTGAGTTTTCAGATGAACAAATGGGAGAGGTCTGTGGGTGGAAACCATTTAGGACACCGCAGGATGAACAAGGTTAGGGTTTAGGTGAAGAAATAAGGTTATGGAATTCAGGGGCATCAAAGCGTGGTAATTGAAAGTTGATTGGTTGGACGGATTGGGCCGATTAGTCCAAAATGCATGTCATGATCAATGGTACCAGCTGTTCCACTCAGATAAGTCTCTTTTTCTTTTCTTTCCCTTTTATAA